AGGACCACTTTTTGGTGTCTACCTTCCAAGTAAGATTTCATTAGTTTGAGGAATATTCCTCTTATTCCATAGAATTCTAACTTTGTTAATAGGATATCATGGTTAACGCAATCAAATGCCTTCTGCAGATCACAAAAAATGCCCCCAACCACTTTTTTTTCATTCATTGCCTTCATAATTTCATTTATCAATTTGTAAGATGCATTGTCTGTTGATGTGGTTGGTCTAAACCCAAATTGCTCATTTACTAAAATATTATTACCTTCAATATGTTGCAGGAGTCTTTGATAGATAATTTTTTCGAACACCTTTGAGAATGTGGTCAATAGAGAAATTGGCCTATAATTAGCTATATTTCTCTTGTCACCCTTTTTGAATAGTGGTTTCATAATGGAGTATTTTAAACGAGTAGGAAAAATTCCTAACGTTATAGATTTATTACAGATATAGTTTAAAGGAGAACTTATAAAGGGGGTACTAACTTTTAGCATTTTTGTGGTGATTCCATCATATCCATGAGAATTCTTTGTTCTAATAGAGTTGATAATTCTTTCTATCTCTATAGTTGTTGTATTTTTAAATTTGATATCAGGAAAAGGAATTTCTGACATCCTAGATAGATAATGGCTTATATTTTTGGTGCCCATTGAGCTTCCTGTATCTGTACTGTCAACTGTGTTGGAAAGAAAAACTAATTTCTACCTCTGGCTAGTTTCTCTACGCTTCCTAAGAAATCCTCCCTCTGGGAAGAGTACCATCCATTTACGTCTGCGAGGAATGTAAGAGTCACGCAGATGTCTCACGAGAGCTTGCAGAGATTCACCACGCTTGTCTTTACCCTTGAAATTGAAAAGAAACACAAAAACATAATTTTTAACATTAGTCAGAGAATCCAGCAATTAAACGTGATAAATCGAGGCTGACATTAATGAAAAGGTATATTAAAAAGAACTTATGTAAGATACAACGAATTCACTGCAAGGTGCTACAATGTAGCTTAGGAATTGAATGTACAACAAAAACCACACCAGAGTTGAATTAACAAGATAGCCAAAATATTCTGTTTTGTACTTAAAGTTTCCAAAACTACTAGGTATCTGGTTCGGTATGGGGGAGTTTACTTGGCTGTGCCAGTACAATTAAGGAATTTGATTCATGTAAGGAGATTTAGATGGCTTAATGGGGGCAATGACTTGATAGATCACACCACACAACTGGGCTACAAATGAAAGAAAAGACTCTGCAGTTCAAGGTGAGCCAGCAATAAGTGAAGGAAACCAATAAGACAATGATAATTCTGTTGAACAAGAACCAGGACACTGCAAGAAAAAACCACGGTCTTCTTCACTAGTTATATGCAAACTTTCACTTGAGCTTTCTGTGACTGGAAGAGATGCAAGAAAAGGATAAATACCATACCAGGACAGCACATTACCCAGTATTCTTGGTAGCTGAAGTGTGACAATGTAAGAAAAAAGTGAATGGCCAATGACCTCTTCAGTTTTATTTTAATCTCATGTCCTGATAGAGGGTTCAGAGGTTATTTCACATTTTATATTTCAAAGATTTCATTGCAGCAATGTTCGATTTGCAGAAATTAAGACACCATTGGGTCATTCCATGTGACGTCATCCAGACAAGTCAGTCGACCATCAGAAAAAATATTTTGTACACTTAATTCTACATATTTTCACATTTCAATTTTTTTTTTTAATTTTAATACATTCGGTTCTCCCGGTACAGCCGTTTTTATAATGAAAAAAAATTGTTTTAGGTTGATAAGGAGGTTTGCATTATCTTCTGTATCTCGATAACTATTGACGCTAGAGACTCCAATAACAAATCAATTTGTTCCTCATTATATGGACTACAATTCATGCCTTTATAAGTTCTTACTCAACTCACTTCCTCTAGGTCTAATGAAGCTTTGAACTTACCTATCGATTTTCGGAAAAAACTATTTTGACCTTCATAAATAAATGGGAGGTGGAAAGTATCAGATCTGTGGCTTCAACCCTTTGTTGTTGTCTACATGGGCAATATAATCACGTAGTTTTGAACCCCGTATCTGTTATTCAAAATTTTTCAGGAGTTTCCAAACTCTGCCCTCAGCGCAAAATCGGCCATATTTAACATCTCATATCTCTGGTGGGGAAGCTGCGTGAAATTTTGAAATTCATAGCAAATAATGCTCTATTCTAGAGTAACTTGGAGTGAAAATTATAACTTTGATATTCTACTAATAAAGAAGTTGTGGGCAATTTGACTTTTACCAAAGAAATCAATAACTCGACAATTGGACTATGGCTCAATTCATCCAGATAAGTTGCTCAACCATTTAAAAAAAATATATATATTTGGTACAATTATTTCTACATATTTTCATATTCCAAAAATATTTAAAAAAAATGTATTGCGATCGGTTCTCCCGGTACAGCCGTTTTTATAATGCAAAAACACCGCGTTTTCAGATGAACTGGAGGTCTGCGTTATCTTCTATATTTCGATAACTATTGATACTAGAGGCACCAATAAAAAATCAATTTGTTCCTCATTATATGGACGACAATTCATGTTATTACAAGTTTTTACTTAATTCACTTGCTCTAGGTCTAATTAAGCTTGAAACTTACCTATCGATTTTTGGAGAAAAGTTGCTTTTGACCTTCATAAACCAATGGGAGGGGGAAGGTATCAGATCTGTGGTTTCTATCTTTTGTTGCTGCCTCCATGGGGAATATAATCATACAGTTTCGAACCCTGTATCTATTTTCCAAAATTTTCCAGGAGCAAATATTGATAACATGTCATTCTGAGCAGTAAGTACAGGCCTGAAAATTTCTCATCTTTTATATAGAATAAAGAACCACTATTACCACTGGATGCAGGTAAGCCAGTTGTTGAGGTGTTGATTTTTTTGGTTCAAAGTGCCCACAACTTTGCTATTAGTATAACATAAAAGTTGTAATTTTAACTCCAAGTTACTCTAGAATAGGGCACTATTTGCTATGAATTTCAAAAGAATCTGAGCTTCCCCACCGGAGATATGAGATGCTGAAAATGGACAATTTCGTGCCCAGGGCAAAGTTTGGAAGTTCCTGGAAAATTTTGAAAAATAGATACGGGGTTGAAAACTAAGTGATTATATTGCACATATAGACAACAACAAAGGGTAGAAACCACAGATCTGATACTTTCCCCCTCCCACTGGTTTATGAAGGTCAAAAATAGCTTTTTTTCCCAAAATTGATAGGCAAGTTCAAAGCTTCATTAGACCTAGAGGAAGTGAGTTGAGTAAAAACTTGTAATGACATGAATTGAAGTCCATATCATGAAAAACAAACTGATTTTTATTGGATTCTCTAGCATCAATAGTTATCGAAATATAGATGATAACGCAAACCTCCAGTTCAGCCGAAAACGTGTTTTTTTCACATTATAAAAATGGCTGTACCAGGAGAACTGAGCGGATTAAAATTGTTTCTTAATATTTTTGAAATATGAAAATATGTAGAAATAAGTGTACAAAATATATATATTCTTTTAAAATGGTCAAGTGATATATCTGGATGACTTCACATGGAATGACTGCATTATGAACTGCTTCTACAGGGAACAGGTACTTTCCTTAAAACTTATTTGTCACAGTAACTGTAGAAAAGAATCAGTAACACTCTTAAAACACATTCATATATCACTTGTTCCAGGCTCTTATCTCTTACCACTCTAATTACGCAAACTTATTATCTACAAAGCCATTTTTCTTCCTGACACAATGTGTTCTAATTTTACATACATTCAGTATGGTGCCACTGGTATCAGTACAGCAGTATGGCATACTACCAAGGGATACACCTTCTGTGGCAATGCTAAACATTAACATCTTTAAGGCATCCTTACTCTTCTTACCAGCTGTTGTAATTTCTTTAAAATTTATTTTGATGTATTTATTACTTTAATATTGAGATTTAAAAGAACAGAAATAAAATCAAACAGCTGAAACATATAAGAGAGTAGTGAAGGTTGATACAAAAATAATATGGCAGATTGCACCATGTTAAGGAACAAATTAAAGACAAGTAAACCCTTTTAACTACTGCGTAGCACAAGTTGAAAGATTTCAGCTAAACACTGTAATACAACCAAAAAAGATAATGCCATAGGCAGTGACTTGATACAAAGTATCAGTGACCCAAGTCTTGTACCCTGCTGATGAACTCTGGCAGGCAGATGAGTGATCATTTCAAGTTATACACTGAGATTATTTGGCAGCTGTGTCAATGAAGTGTCTTTCTGCTATGTGAGTTCAAGATGTAGATTGCTGTGCTCCTTAATTAATCAGCTGCAGTGATAACATCATAATGTGAAGGTCACTGGTCTGCTTGAAGCATCTAACTTACATCCCTCTTCCTTCAATGTTTCCATTTTTATATGAATCACCTGCCCTCTGTCTTGCATATCTCTCAGAATTAATTGTATCTGAAGATACCATTTACAGAAATTACAGGACTACATGGCTGTAAAATCAGTACAACTGTGGTTATCAGCATGGGCACAGTTTCAGAAACTTTGCATCATTTATTACAAGGGTTCCTTCAAGTCCGACACAGCTACATTTATTTTTTATATTTTGTATGAATATCATGTTAAGTGTAAGTCTAATAGGAAGTTTTGCAGAAAATGCAGAACAAAGTTTCCTGGGGTTCAACTTCTCCCAAAGAAGCATCATTCACAATCTTCATAAGCAAATAATGATAACATGCTGACAGACAGGTAACCAAAATTTCATTGCCAAATATGAACATTAAAAGAGTTGGATGGCATCTGAACTCTGCTTAAATAGTTGCCTCACAATCTTTTTTTTTATTATTGCCAGTGGGGTGGGATTAAGTCCCTTGTACTGCGGCCACTTCTGGCCTATTGTACCAGCCCCAGATGATAGGTGAGGGTGATTGTGGAGCAACTGGTGGAATGAAGATTGGCAGGGGAAACCAAAGTACTCAGAGAAAACCTACCCCAGCGCTACTTTCTCCACCACAAATCCCACTTGACCAGACCTGGGATCGAACCCGGGCCACCGCGGTGGGAAGCCAGCGACTAACCGCTTGAGCTATGGCGCAGCCTGCCTTGTAATCTTGCTAGCTCCTTGCACAGTAAATGGGAATATCATGAGAAACCTTGAGGACCACAACAAATTTATACAAATTTACAAAATTTACATAAACATCTATGTATCAAGTCCATCAATAATGCAACAGTCATTAAAATATTCACCATTTAACAAACAACATGTTTCAGCCACAGACGGCCATCCTCAGAATGACCGTCTGTGGCCAAAACATGTTGTGTTAGTGTTAAATGGTTAATATTTTAATGACTGTTGCATTATTGATGGACTTGATACATAGACATTTAATTAAAGAGATGCAACAGGATGCTAAAATACAGAATTACATAAGCACAGATGAATAGTTCTACCTTCTGGAACATAACACTGCGCTGTCTACAGAATATCAACAGAAGTTTTGGAGGAACATGGCGGCTCCATGTTCAGTGTTTCTCTAAAAACATTAGTTGACTTTAAATAGATTACATGGCATTATATACCAGAAGACAGAACTCTTCATAACCACCACTATGAGAACCTCAACTCCTACATACTTGTGCATTCTTTGCAGCCATGTTACCTACAACTTCCGTAACTGTCAGTTCAAGATGCTAGACTTGATCCAAGTTGATTTCTTTTTCTGGACAAGGCCTGGAAGGGACATATGACCACAAACCAACACACAATGGTGCAAAGGAAATCAACATCCTATACATGAAGTTGGTGTTTGATATGCTCTGAGTGTGAGAATTATTAGGGACAGTCAGTAAATAGGTCACAAATGGAAGCAAAACAGCTGTAATGGATGTAATAAAAAAGTAAAGCTATTCCTGTACCAGGCCGTGAAGGCCCATAGGGTTGTGAGATGTTGAGGGTCCCACATTATCTAGACAATAGGCTCAAAGATGGCAGTAGGCTTTCTATTTGCATCACTAGCTAGCAGAACAGTCCCGCTTCATGACATTCTAAGTAGCAGACACATGTGCATGTTTGGTGGCTTGTTTCAGTAGTCAAAATGGCGACCATGTTTGAAGAGCGTTCTGTTGTGCGATTTTATGGGTAAAAGGACTCAATGCAAAGGATATTCTTAAACAATGTTTCCTGTTTATAGTGAGATGTGTTTGTCATGTAAATCGTCTCACAACTAGGTCGAGAAATTCTCTCATGGACGTTTGGAAGTTGCAGATGATGCCCAACTGGGTGCAGAAGTGGCTGAGACAACAGTCAAAAGACTTCTATACTGCGGGTTTTGACATGCTAGTAAAGCAATGGGACAAGTGTATCAATGTGGATGGAGGATATGTCAAGAAAGAAAATGTTCTTTTCTTGGTTTGAATATCACAAGGTTTACATATGAGGGGGGACCCAAAAATAACCGGAAACGACCTGTTGCGCACACATGCTTTGTAGTTACGTGTTGTGCTGCTAGGTGGTGTTAGCTGGGGGTCTCCCGCGACTGTTAGTGAGCTGGCGTCAGTCTGAGTTAAGTGGTTTGTCTGTGGTGCTCTGTTTCAACCCTTTGGCGATTAGTGAGATGGCCGACCAGAAGGAACAAAGAGTGTGCGTGAAATTGATGAAGATCGTCGAAAGACCATTGACCAACTTTCTGAGCAAACGAGCATCTCATGGAGCACGGTCCAGCGAATTTTAACTGAAGGTTTGCACATGATACGGGTGTCTGCAAAATTTGTTCCTCGCTTGCTCGGAGATGACCAAAGAGAAAACCGCGTGAATGTTTGCCGCGACTTGAAGAGTGAAGTGCAGTTTTCCCTAACAGAAAGCAAAATTTCATGCACACTCTTTGTTCCTTCTGGTCAGCCATCTCACTAATCGCCAAAGGGTTGAAACAGGAACGCACACAACAGAGCACCACAGACAAAACACTTAACTCAGACTGACGCCAGCTCACTAACAGTCGCGGGAGACCCCCAGCTAACACCACCTAGCAGCACAACTCGTAACTACAGAGCATGCACGCGCAACAGGTCGTTTCCGGTTCTTTTGGGTCCCCCTTTGTATTCTACTATGTATATCCATTTGTCACTTAATTACTGACTCTCCCTCATATATATTCTTTGTTCTATTCACAGAACAGTAAGTCTGAGAAATATGCACTGCAAGGGTACAGTAACCTTTGCCCCATGATGTTGTCACCACAATTCATTGAGTAGGAAAGGTGGCAACCTACCATGTGGTCACCCAGAGTGGAAATGTTGTGCTCTGGCACAGTTGCCAAGTATCCTCCACATACAAAAAAATATGATGAAACCAACAACACAGAAATCACACTGTTCCAGCAAATACCACTTACTGGACACACACGTATATATATATAT